ACATAAGTCCGCGCTGTTCAAGCACGTGTTCTGTTTCTCTCCGCATGCAGAGATGACGCCCAATTAAAAATGTATACAAAAGCGCCTATTTTGACTTGCGGGCTAGCGCAAGTGAGGATCCCGTTTCCTTCTAGTAACCTAGAATCATGGGTTTAGCGAAAACTGGAAATCCATAGTTCTGTAGGTTACCGAGCGTTTTTTTTTTGAAATTTTATGCAAATAATTCCCCTACATACTGTTACAGACACTGTTTTCCAACAGACGCACCCCAAGTCTTATATTCCAACCTCGTTCGCTTTATAGACCTGGGGTTTCTATACCCAGGCAACTAATCTGCAAAAAGATATCTTACATAATGTACCGAAAGTGAAATAACTGGCATCTGGTTGTTGGATCCTGGGGTACAACCCACAGTTAGCTTCGATCGGGGGGTGACGCATCAGTTGGTGCTGTGTTGTACTTTGATTCTTATTCTGTATGGTGCAAGTGGCAATTTCCAAGATGTTGCTGTTAAACTGTCGACATAAGCAGAAGCGATACTGTTTACCTTCTTGACTTTGTACTCAGTTGTTTTTTGTGGCACTGGTCATACATCAGGAGATTGGCATTCGCCAAGCGTTCGCTTGACAGACGCCTACATTTTCATTCCAGGCATTGAGCCTTTGGGTCACTGTATATTAATAATGCATATAGCAGCAAGCGTCTGAGTGAACTGTTAACTCAGATTTTCTCTAAATGTATAAGCTCTAATTTAACTCATATATGTACTCCAGCGTGGCCATGGCCGTCTGAATGGTCACATTTAATGAATGTTTGTGTTAACTCCTTTTCTCTATTAAACACCTTAACGGCCTTTTCGTGGTGCTAGCTGTAGGTTGGATGGCTGCTGATATCGCCAAAGTTAGCTATCCATAATTACATGCCAGATGATACTCCAATCCTACAGGGACCAGATGCACATACTTGCACATGGATCGTACCATCGCAGCTTTGTAACTATTCTGGCATTTTGGTGAGACGACGTGCAATTTCTGTACTTGTAACAAACGTGTAATATGTTAATGGAAAAATAACGATGTAGTATTCGCTAGAGTACTGCGCAGTTTGTAATTTGCGAAGTTGCAGTGCTTTACAGTCGTCAGCCGTCAGCTTTCGAAGAACAAAATTGGCTTTCACAAAAGTACAAATTACCATTTCTTGATTAAAGGTCGGTACAAGCCAAAAATGTTTTGCATATTTCCTTTTCACACTTTTACAAATATTTGTAAAATAAAGCACTGGCATACACGACGCTGTTTTTAACTTACGTTCAGTTCACGATCACTGATCACGCACAGTTGCTGTCCCTTAGGTCACCACTGCGTTATGCACAAAATCCGTGGGCCAGACGTCACGGATCGAGTGAGTCAATACATTATTAAACTTTGAGCGAACTGCTTCTAAGCGCACGATCGCGCATTGCATGGCCGAATCAAGTTGGCCTCAGCGCAATCATGTACGGTATTTAAACGATTATCCGGTACCGAATAGATCAGGTTGAATGACGGCCAACTGGGTAGCATGGCGGCATTTGGAATGATTCATGGTTTTAAAAAATTTTGGTTTTTCATCGTCGATCATGAGCCTAGTTATTATGTTCGCTCACAATGACAGAGGGTTGCCTTGTCTTTCGATCAATGTAACTTGCTCCAAAGGAACAGGCAAAGGAGTAAATACACATTAATTTGACATGGACAAAACGCTTGTCTTTGGGGCTAGTAGTTGCGTTTGAGTTAACGACCTACCTGATTTCATCATAAGTGCTGCAAATGTGTGAGAGCATGTGAAGTGTAACGAGTTAAAATTTCAACAGGTAAACCTGCCTTCTATGATGTTTGCAAAAATTTAGGTTTTCTGTGACCTATGAGGAGTATAAGGGCCTATTTACTTTGTCCTGTATTCACCTTCATGAAAATGATTTGAAAACAATTTTCCCTTAGGGTCAAGTGAATAAGCTTCCGTTATTCGGAAAACAAGTTGATTAAGGAAATTGGCTTCCTCGACTCATTGATTGTTAAAAGCTAATCAGGTATTTCACTTTCGACTTGTGGTTATCTACTTGGAGCATAATATTACGGAAACGCTCCTATTTTAATCTCCGAAATGTGGAACGCTTCGTATTTTCCTAAAATAAATGCGTGCTTATAATTGTAACCTTTCCGTAAGCGAGACCTTTTCATGGAATCACGTAGACATTATGGTAAAAGCAAGACCTAGAATCAGTATATCATTAATCTCCTAAAATCTTCGCATTTAGTGAAAGAATAAGCATTACAAGATGTGGCACATTGCAAAATAGATAACATAGTACATGTCTCATTTACAAGCGTAGTATAGTTCACCAGATTAAAGGCAAATATTTTACTAGTTTCAGCGGGAATTCGTCGTTTGAGACATTTAAAGCAGTTAGTTCCCTTCAGAAATTATAAAAGCACGGTAAGAAGACGAAAAGTGGTAGATGCATGCATTTCGTATTTTCTCCTCAGTACCATTAACAATAACCGGTATGCAACTATATACTTAAATATATGTGTGACCGAATAAGCATAAGGTGAATAATGAATGACGGAAGTTCCACACCTATGTCCACGGCAGTCTTAAGCTGATAAATAATTGCTTTTGAACACACAGGGCCGGCTTCATCCGGCTTATCGCAACCGCCTCGGCGAAACGGAGGAAGCGAGGATTAGGGTAACGTAATACAAGTGTGAACGCTGATCCGAGCTCTATCCGGTGACGCGTAGTCAGTAGGTGTTTACCTATTGAGGAAGCTGGCGGTTTGCGCAAGCACGTATGCGACTGCGGAGACAGTTACATAGGCAGAACCAATCGGTCTTTGACTTCCCGAATAAAGGAACACGTGCCAAGGTGGGTTCAACGTGAAATTGACCAGAATCCCTGTCCCACTAAAGTTCCGTGCTTGTGCAAACCGCCAGCTTCCTCAATAGGTAAACACCTACTGACTACGCGTCACCGGATAGAGCTCGGATCAGCGTTCACACTTGTATTACGTTACCCTAATCCTCGCTTCCTCCGTTTCGCCGAGGCGGTTGCGATAAGCCGGATGAAGCCGGCCCTGTGTGTTCAAAAGCAATTATTTATCAGCTTAAGACTGCCGTGGACATAGGTGTGGAAATTCCGTCATTCATTATTCACCTTATGCTTATTCGGTCACACACATATTTAAGTATATAGTTGCATACCGGTTATTGTTAATGGTACTGAGGAGAAAATACGAAATGCATACATCTACCAGTTTTCGTCTCCTTACCGTGCTTTTCAAATATTTTACTGTTGAGAGTACCTACACAGTCGCATTTTTAGGCTTTTTCAGATCATTTGCACTCTTTTTGAATAATGTTACTTATGTTTAGTTGTTCTGGATGAGGAAATGGGGAAGCTATATATGAAATTGCTTCCTCTATAAAAACTACTCTAGTAGACATATGCTCAGCATGGTTGCTTCTGTGCTGTGCCTAAAATAATTTTAACGCGTGTAGATTAATCTTAATTGTTTTATTCATTCTGGTACACATGCTCGCCATATGTGGCCATCATTGTATTAAAGAAGCGTAGTCCGTATGTATACCTTGCCGTTTGCTTGAGATGCACTACTGGGTTTTTACACTTTCAATGCAGACAGTGGTTAAGTTACTCTCAGCTATACAGTCAATTTGAGTCGTAGTACAGCATGTTTGGGGTAAGGTTAATGGATGTATTGCCTTCTTTTCTTCTTAGGGCACGGTTGTTGGCCGTGTGCTGTAAATTTGCCTAACATCTGAGCATTAACTCACTGCTGTCTAAGCATTGAAATGGTGGAATAACTAGTACTCTACGCATAAATAAAACTACAGAGTTAATTCCGATTGCAAATAATTTGGCATTATTTGATGTATTTTCACTTGGCAATAATATGGGAGCGGTATTCATTAACTTCGTTTACACCTAATCTATAAGCATAATTGGTTGGTGGTTGGTTTGCTTCTTCTGTTTATGTATATTAATCTGATGTAGTAGTCGTTTACAGCAATGCAAAAGTATGTTGGTTGAGTACAACTGCAAAATGTAGGAAGCGTTCGCCGTTCTAAATTTAGGTTGCCACAGGTTAACCTGTGTGTTATTAATTTGTATCTATTTCATTATTCTAAAGGTTATTCGTTAACTTGTCAACGTTAGCATCATATCGGGAAGCCGTCCGTTAGCCTGATACAAATTATTCCAAAAAGTGTACTGGGGTTCGGATCAAGCTTTGGAAATGGCAACTTTTCTGTTGACTGATTTCCAGTTAAGGGACAAGATAGTTTTAGTATAAATGTTTAGTTTAATATGACAACTGAAATTCTCCAGCGTAACCGCATACAATTCTAAAACTTTTATTTTCTAGGGAACGTCTAACATTTGTTTCTGTACGTAGGGCAGAAACCAAACAAATTTGACAGCAGCAGATATAACCGCAGCACGCAAGATGTGTGATCTACACCTTAACATTTAAATTAGTAAACAAATCAAAGTATCTTCCTGCAAACGGCTAATGCACAATACATTTATGAAGTACGTTGGTTTTATTAGGTTTTATTACGCCGGGATATTGCCACAGTGTTGCATTCTAGCTGGGGTGACGATGCAGTTGACGTTAATGATTTACATTCGATAGACCGGTAATTAAATTTAAACTTTATCGCGACAGCTTCCGCTTTAGATTGACTGACACCAATCAGGAAAAAGATTGGATAACCGTGCTTTTTACTCCGACACCGCATTGGTCCACGCAACACGGCAAATAAAAGACTACATTATACGGCTTCATGATGAGGTTGAAACGCTTTTGCAGTGCCCTCCAATCATAAGGGTTGAAAAGAGTGGTACACGATATATTTAAAAGGTAGTTTAAGCAAAAGGAACGACGGAAAGTCAAAATGTGTTTCTTGCAGATTTTCAGTGCTTTGCTGCTATTTCCTTGTATGGTGCTAACGATGGGTAAGTCGGAATGCGACACATTTTGTTACTTACAGCTTACTAATTGCTGGATAAATATATTATTATTATTTTTACTTGTTGGGATTACCTTCAAACTAATAGGTTTTTCGGCTTTGTTTAGTAAAAAATAATCGTAGTTGTATATGTTATAATTCAGTTTTTGTCTGTTTGTCGCATTTCCTGATTTGGCCCATAGTTACCTCTTAACCATTCTATTGAAGGCGTTAAAGTATACCTAATATCAGGAACTCATTTTCACATTTTAGGGTCATTAACTTGTTGATTCAATAATTCAAATGATAGAAATATTTAGTTTCTCCCAGATCCGTGGGTAAAATCTTGAGATATTGATTCCTGCAAGTTCGGTGTACTACAATGTTGCAGTTTAATTACATTCATGGAAATGCGAGCGGGTCCAAAGAAAATTTAGGGTTTAAGACATTGGTTAATGTAAAAGGCCATAGCACTCGAGAAATGTGTTCGATACTAAAACACTATCCTGTGTATTCATGTTAGTTATCTTACATTTTGCTCACCTGTGCTAGGGTGCTTGCGCAACAATGCTATTTCACTAATAACCTGCTGCCTGGGCATGTTTGGTAATGCTTACATTTTAGTAGGTTACGAGTTAGGTAGCCAGTTACGTTTGGCAATAATTAAACATCGTAGAAGGCAGAATTCACGATTAAACTCCACACGAAAATCTGCCTCGACGGGGAATCGAACCCCGGTCCACCAATTTCCGGTCCGTTGCTCTACCACTGAGCCACCGAGGGCTGACGATTAAGAGCGGAAGTTAACACATGACTTTTGCTTAGTGCGCGACGTATTGCCAATGAGCTCACAGTAACTGTCCTGATGTTGCAGATCGGCTCACTCACTCGTCGCTTCCCAGTGGACCGAAGTAAATGTCCATCCGAAGTCCAAAGGGCGATGGTAGATTATTTGAAGGATGTTTGTGAGTAACGTAAGTATCGTAGAAGGCAGAAGTCACGATTAAACTCCACACGGAAATTCGTGGACCGGGGTTCGATTCCCCGTCGAGGCAGATTTTCGTGTGGAGTTTAATCGTGACTTCTGCCTTCTACGATACTTACGTTACTCACAAACATCCTTCAAATAAATAACAGGCGTAATTATATATAGCGATGAATTTGTACCATGAAAATTGCTGAGTAGCAAGAACTACGGTGCAGACGGAAACTGTCTTACGAAATGCTGGAAATAGTCCATGTACCATGAAACTGGTCTCAAACACATGCAACTAGGGTTTTATTTGTTTTCGTGCCTGTATTAACAGACAGGATGTGCATTTAAGTATTCGGGCATTTGATATATACTAAGCTACTTTTTGAGATCTGTTATAAAGAACAGTATGGAACTAAACACATTACATCCGGCGTGTTGTTTTGGTTACACGTTCGAATTGAGGCTGCGAGGTTGGTAGATGAAAGAACGCGTATTTTGTCAATCGGTTCATGTCAGTAAAATACTGGTTTCTTTTGTCAAGCATCCTGTTAACTTAATAAAGTTATACAACACCTGATATGTAACCACAATATACGAAAGTGTTAAGTATTTTATATAAACAACCAACATTTGTCAATTCCATATAAATAAACTGGTTTCGACTTAAGTACGTTAACGAAAGATATTACAAGTCAGGGTAGTAGGAGTTTAGTTGAAAAAAAGTAACCTTTTCAGAGGTCTTACATTGCAGTCTTCCGTATTAATATAAGCAAAACCTAACGTTTCACTTGAGAGATTTCCATAGGTTTAAGCGTTATAGTGAGATAAAACATTCCCGTATACGCTAAACAGACCATCGCAGTGCCCAGGCGCTCAATGTAGTTTAATCATACACTGAGATTAAATATTTTAAAAAGTGATATTCTTTATTTGCGTAAATAATATTTAATTACAAAACAAAGGCATTTTAGAAGGATTTCAACATTAGCGGACACAAATACTTTTCTTATTCGGATTTTATAGCATTTCTCCGTCATTAAGGGACGAATGGCGAAACATTTCTTCGGTTACCGAAATACCTATTTCCTACATCTGAACATCGACGTTTTATGCCATAGGTAATAAAACGGATTCTAGTGAACCTACTGCGAGCACATCGGTTAACATATGGTTAAGATGTGCCCGCAAACATTTAAGCACATTTTTACAGCAAAACATAGCTTCATTTACGTGCTACTTTACTTTTCTACCTATTTAGATCCATCGGCGTCATTTCCTGTGTTGACTCTGGAGAGTAAGTGATTACTAGCACTTGAACGTAACTAGAATAAAATTAAGCAGCAAGCATATACGTATTAATGTTGTTTTCATGTGAGCATCAAAATTAACAGTAAATGGGATCATGCAGAAGTACGAATATTGCCTGTTCCTGTTTATCAATAAAATTACGGGAAATACGCAACTAACAAGCGTAAAACTACTATACTTTCAAATACGATGAATGGTTTCAGTGCGTTGCTCTGCTAAACGTGCATAAAAGTTAAGATAGTTTGGCCGGTAAACACAAAATGCATGAAATCCCACTGTTTAATTACAGTTTTTATATGCTGAAATTATGTTCAGGAGCTTTCATGCACACAGTCGTTTTGATATCAAAGCTTCTGCCTATAGAACGAAAAGATCTTTCGCGGATTATGGTATTTTATGTCACCAGTACAAAGTGACCCCTAAAGCTTTGCTTGGAAATTACGTTCCGGTTTCTTTTCGCCCTATTTACAACTATTAGAAGCACATATGCAATTTTATATTTTAGCTTAATTTCTTATGTCACAATGCATTTGGTCGCTTAACAATTATAAGAGACCATAGTCTACCAGAACCCGGTGTTTACTTAGTTTGTTGACTACCACTGTTTAGATTAGATGTTAGTGAGCTATCTGAAAAATTCCTGAGTGACCTGACAAATTTGAATAGTTTACTGCCATTACCATTCACCCCGCTTCAATTCCCATCACCAATTGTTCAGAAATTCTTGTTGCTTCAAACAAAACATTGTGTAATACGAACCCAACCTACCTTGATTTCTTGCCACATAAAACAAGCGTCACATAATTTGGCACCGTTAACTCGTAGATGTATGTTATTCAACTTTCTTTTTTGCTACTTGGAGCTACACGAGTGTTTTAATTCGCTTTGGTATTTGTAGTAAAATTCGTGGCTGATTGTAAACTTTGTTTAGGTAATTGTTTGTAAATTTTCTCTTCATCCCATTCCAGCTTCGTTATTCTTTAATACGATGGAAACGCTTTGTTTAAGGCTTCTCAACTTGTTGATGCCCACAGAGCAGATAAATTTGATTGGCACCTTATATTCTATTCCTTCATTTCAGCCCAACCAGCTTTATTTGTCAGTGTTAACCTAGCGAAACATGAGATATTTATGCCCTAAGTTAATGTGAGCATGTACGATGCCATCTAATTTATAAAATCTACAACGAGGAATGGCAAATTTGTATGCGATTGAAACTTTAATTATGTTGAAATTTTGAACTGAACATTGTTACACCATAAACCAATTCAACCGGCGTCACCATCTTAAATTATAAGACAAACTAATGTGTTCAAAGTTAACAGAAATGTAGATGCATTTTTTCATTACAGATCCCACTGTGCTATTTCTCTCAAGTGAGTACTTCATTATTGATCATGGAACCAAGCAATTCATTTGCGAAAACGGATGCTAAAAGACGAGAGCAGTACTTATACTTGTCCTTTTATAACTATGAGTAAAAATAAGTATTTATACATGCAATAATTTGGGATTCATGATTGATTGGTTTTAACACAGTCCTGCGTGATTACTGCTTCATAAAATGAGGTTAATTACGCGACTGCAATGTTTTGCAAATTAGGTTATTAGAAACGGGGCTACAGATAGGAATTGTTGTTGTCCTTAGTAGAGGCACGATTACTAGAAGCACCGCTAACATTACCAGTACAGTATCACAAATGATCTAGTTTCTGTTTTAGTCAAGTAAATTAAGTCTTGTAAATTATTAGGTTTCCCTTAATTATTCAGAAAACAAGTAAAACATACCTCTGCAAAAATAATAACAGTGTGATAACATACCTTGACGCGTGTTATCCAGTCGACCATTTAAGCAAACAAACTATCTTACGTTACGAGGAAAGTACAAATGCATTAATTTCAGTGCTTACTAATTGGTTTTTGGGCAACGGTTTAGCTGACGAATTTCTCAATTTTTGCGTCACTGAATTACATGGAAGCCATGTCATTGGCACCGGAACAGGACTTAGGCATCTAGCTACACGAGTAGAATATGTGGAAAGAAGCACAAACTACTTTTCAGGGAAGTCATCGCAAGGCATTGCTTAGCCAAGAAACACCAAACTGTTAATAAACGGTTACCACTTGACTTACCTTTAGCAGATGGCATGGAAAGAAACCATGGACGTGAGCTAATACTAAGCAACTGGAGCTGACACGTCTACTTCAGTGTGGGAAGTTCGAAGGCAACCGGACGCGGCGTAGGCAAATTTTCTTGTTTAAACTAAATAATCTTACGTGTGTAATATGAATCACTGCTTCAAAATTTCCTTGTCCCGAGCGAGTACACAATACTTGAAATACAGATGCATTTCGATTCCGCACACGTGTGTCAGTATTGGCAGTAAAATAAATCTGATGGAACACTTAATCCTGCTTCGTCCGGTCTCGCTACTGTTATTTAACCCGCAAGATACTAGCCATATAGTTACTGAACTGCGCGAATTTAAATAAGCTTAGGGCACTAAGGAATAACGAGGAAATTACTTTGCATTTGGTTGATTACAGCTGGGGTTGTGTCATGTAAAAAGAAATTCCTCCACCACTCAGGTGTATAATTTGATCGTCTGTAATAAAATTTAATTAGACGACAGAACCGCCACCGTATGAAAACATGTATGTTCTCTCAGACAAATGGATCAAAAGAGTTATATCGATGAATTGACTTAATGACTTTGTCGTGCCGTTACCATGTTTCATGGATCGTGTGAATTGCCTAAGGTATGGTTGGAAAGGTTAAATTTGCAACTTTTTAGATAAACGGGTAAGTATCCATGTCTTTCGCTAACGTGGCTGGGAGACAAATTACTGGGATTTACATGTAGGGAGATGCAGAATGTATTATTCGCAAAATGTTAGAGTTCGTTATCCAAATAGTTGCAATAGGCCTCTGTATATGGAAAAGGAACTAAGACTACATAGATGGTTGGATAAGGTTATAGGAACCACCTAGTAAGAAAGACACGGGAATCGGTCGGATGTATATTTCAACATTTGAGGGCAGTGAAGAGGATTTAGCGTAGTGCAACCAAGGAGAGAGTCCAGCGTGTGTTTAAAATGTCACGTTCCCCGAGAGATTGAAGCTAATACAAAAAATGCAAAGTGTATAAAGGATGTAAATCCTACCTTAGCGGACTATCAAGGAAAGGAAAGAAACGGCAGATCGCTCTAGGGCGCAGTACAAGCGCATATGAATATGCTACAGTATTCCACTTCGTAATGTTTGCTGTCCTCAGCACCCACAGTGCTGCCCCGCCGGTTTTAGTTCCTTAGAGTAAATGACCGTGGAGGAGACCGGTGCGCCATATTATATGATATGATAAGTCAAGCCTGATAGCAAATCCTCCGTGAAGTACGGTCCGTCCCAAGTGCGGTGTAATTTCCACGGGACACTCGTTGTTTGTACGACCGTAATAACCCATTCTTCATCGCCAAGTTGATAGCGGCTTCCGAAATCGTACTGATTGCAATTTGCTTTCAGGTAATGCTGTGATCGCATATGTGCTCGCACTAACTGACGCGTGCGCAACAGAATTGACTTTCCCCAGAGTATATGGTCTGATGCCACCAGAGATTTAATTGTTATGATGTCGGCGATAGTATGTCACAGGGTATTCACATCTTTCGTCCCATCATTGTTAGATGTGTCATTTGGTCGGTCGATAAATGCAGAGCCACTCGGGATGCCTGCAAACAAATCCGTAGGGACCCATCCTCTTCTCTTGGTGTCTCACTATTAAGGAATGCTGCAGCAGTGGTTGGAGTGCGCTGGACCAAACTATTTTATTCTGGAGGTTAAGTAACCGTCCGGGTCTTAAGGAAGCCGAATAGTTGTCGTCGTAGGCTCACGAGTATACGCACAACATCTGATCCCCGAGCAGTGCATCTAGCATGATGATTCCCATCGTGCTACCTAAGCACCCAAGAACGCCTTGGCTACATGCTTTTACTTTAGCTAGCGGAACCCCATTACACCACTTGCTAAATTAGTCTACAATAATTAGGATATAACGACGTCCTCTTGCGGTTTCTGATAGCGGCCTCAAGATATTGATGCTAACTAGCTCGTTTGGGTACCTAGACGTCATTGATTACAGCAGCCCACCATAGTTTGGTGTAAGGATTTGGCTTGATGCAAACTTGGCACAAGGTTAGAAGAAATTCGCGATGCCGCGCCGTAAGCGTTGCTACCATTATGCGCGGCGGACAGCCTCATTCGTCTTGTTTCGTCTCACATATCATAATTCTTCGTGTACCCTTTGCATCACTCCCTGAGTTACGGCCGTTGGGACAGCAATTCGCCCTTAGCAGGCGGAAACATTTGGAAATGCATGAATGCATCTTTCACGCGTCATTCGGGCAAAGCTACTACAGGACTTTTGTCGATAAGCTGGTACCGGCCAGTTTCAAGTGCGTTGTCCTGCTTTTGTTTTGTGATGTACGGTCGTACAGAAGGCTCAAATCTGGGTAGGCGGGCAATAAGGTTGTCGACTCTTCGGTTTCAGACACTGGGAGGATAATTGCGGACATGCATGCGCTTGTGCATGAGAGGTATGGTCCATGTTTTCTAGTAGATCTGCGAGATAACCAGTCGGCCTTTGCATGCTTTTTTGCCAGGCTGTGTTGACATTCAAAATCGCGTCCTGTAATTGTTTCTGCCATCTGACTATTTGTCCTTTAGGAACACGGTAGTTCAAAAGCCGGATCAGGGACATGTGATTTTTAAACATGACGAACCTGTGGCATAGCAGGCAATGGTAAAACTGCTTGCTAGAGTTGGTCAGATCAAGCATATCTTTCTGGGTTGTGCCAAAGTTACGCTCTTTTTGTGAAACTTCTGCTTGCATATGCAGTGACTGATTGGGCTCCGTGTGGCACGCCCTGTGACAGCACGTCTTAGAAACCTGAATCCCTAGCACTAGTGTCCAGGAGAAACCTGCCAGACGACAGCAAAGTATTATGGTAACATAGCACTGATGCTTTGCGCAACTATGTCCAAAGCTCCTTGAAAGATTCTTGCTGAGCAGTACAAAGTAAATATTTTATTCTCATTTAAGTGCTCACTTAGCTGAGAGGAAATGGACGTGAAATTGCTGAGAAAATAGCGGTAATAAGTAGTAAGGCAGAAAAAACTGAGTACATCGTCAGCACTTTCTATGACCAGTCATAAGTGGAAGTATTCGACTTTCTTCGGGTTTTAACTTACACTCTTTCTGGACCTTTTGTGGCCTAGATGGGTCAGTTTATTAAAAACTGACACTTTTTAAAAGTATTATTTTTAAACATAGCTGCAGTTGCCTATATAAAACGAAAGGCTGGATTTGGATAGGGCCCTTCTATGTTTAATCGTGAGTTATGGCATCATCTAGATAAATCGGGCAGTCCGTTGTTATGAATTCAAATGGAGATGTGCACCAGAAGCTAAAAAGACTCAAGTGAGTTATTCAGCCGTAATGGCAAGTTTTAATTGGTAAAAACCAGATTGGACGATGAATGCCGGTTTACATCGGTCATTTCGATCGCGAAGACTGTAGCCGGAATGAAAATATTTAGGAGTTGATCCCAAATATTCCAAATTAGGATACGGCCATTGCGATTGGAACCCGGAGATTATAATAGAGGTTGCGAATCGCAAACCAAGCACACAGCGTGTTCGTTAAATGCAACTTGGAGTTATTTTCCGCTGTACCAAGCGTTGCTCGCAGACCACAGTGGTATAATGTTTAACACATCAGCCGTTAACTACTAACCTTTGAGTCCTACTTTTTTAGAGGGTCGCCTGTACCATGAGCCCAGAGAGCGGTTCGAGAAGACAGATCGAGTTGCAGGGAAACTTTTATTGGCACAGTAAAAAATTCCCTGTTATCTAGCTATAAATGAACGAACCGTGGACGCTCTAGCTAGGGGAATGGAGCATGCACAGCACACAGGGCAGTTGCGAGTTACAACCGAAACGAGCGCCAAGCAAAAAATGGCGATGAGCAAGTCAAGCATTCGAACTCAGCAAGCAGTTTAACAAACCACACCGGTTGCCTAAGTGTACAACGAATAAATTTTAGTTAGACTTTTACACAGGCAAACCGGGGAATCTCCAGACTGCTACGTCCTAGCTCAGGCTATCTCTACCTAAGGAGTCCGAACACGGACAAGAATCGCGGTCGCAGTGTGCCAGTGTTAGGTGGAGCAACAATCATATATATTTATTTCGGGTAAAGTCAGACGTTTGGCTAGTTGTTTTCCCACCCAAAACTGACGCCGCACTCGCTCGATAGCGCATTTTTAGCAACAAGAAGAAGCGGCTTTCTTATTGCATTGTAGATCGTTGAATGACCCAATG